CCAACAGATGCCTAATATGCATATGGTCCATGAGCCTTTTAAGCACGATCTAGCATGCAATTTTAACTCTGAAGAAACCAGTACGAGAAAAGAACATACCAGGAGTCATTGCTTCAATCATTGCTTCCATTACTTTCAAACTCTTTTCTGCTTCCCGAATCTGGGCAGGAGTGACCTACGAGAAATAACCAGAGTGATTAGTCAAGCAGATAAATGCAGGAAATTGCAATTCATATTAAACTTCAGGTATGGACACCCGAATACAGTCCCATAATACCTGTTTGAATTATTTGTGAATTGAAACACAAGCATCTAATATTTGTGCATCTGATTAGTCCATTACAAAAAAATATCATGTAAAAGTTCAGAAGATTTGGATTCCCACCTTTCCCATGCCAGGGATCATTCCAATGACACGAGTCATAGATCCCATACGAGCAACTGCACGAGTTTGCTTCAGGAAATCGTTGAAATCAAATTTTGCACTCATTATCTTCTTTTGCAGTTCTTTTGCATCCTCTTGGCGCATCTATATGCACAATTGAATTAAAAACAATGGACTTTTCTGAAAGTAAGACAAAATTAATTCCAACTTACCACTTCTTGTGCCTTCTCCACAAAAGAGAGAACATCTCCCATTCCTAAGATTCTTCCTGCCATACGGTCCGGATAAAATGGTTCAAGGTCCTCCATACGCTCTCCACGTCCTACAAGTTTGATTGGCTTTCCTGATACCTATAACAATTTAATTGACAAATAGAATAAGCTAAATTTATCCAGTGCTATTGTGAATTTGAAGATGTTGAAAACAGCGCTCATAAGGAACAGAGCTAAAAGAAAAAACATTCCAGTAAATTAATTCTTAAAGAAGCAAAAGTGCATTATTTTATTCAATAAAATAGAAGCGACAGGACATACCTCTTTGACGCTCAAAGCTGCTCCACCTCTTGAATCTCCATCAAGCTTTGTCAGAATAGCACCTGTAATCCCTATTTCTATGTTGAATGTTGTGACCAAGGCTGTAAAACCACATAAAATAGCAATGGGCTTAAAAGGAGATAAATGTCCTCTTTACAAGTTATTTTGGAAACCTTTAATACTTGTGGTCATCCAGGGTTGCTGAGTAAAATACCTGCAGCTTCTTGACCAGTCATCGCATCTACAACAAGGAGAACTTCAGTTGGATTAATTACCCGTTTCACTTCTTTTAATTCATCCATCATGGCCTTGTCTATCTGTTAAATTTTTAAATGAAGAGATTTTCTCAGAAGGATAGTAAATGAATAATGGACAGTCTTCAATAATTAGTATATTATCATTGAACCATCCACATATTTTTTTACAACAAAAATAATGAGCACCTGAAGCCTTCCAGCAGTATCCACGATGACTACATCTACTTTGTTTTTTCGGGCCTCTTGTAGACCTTGTTTCGCGATGTCTGAAGGTTTAACCTCAGTGCCTGCTGTATAAACAGGCACCCCCACCTGTAATTCACTATGACCGAAAGTGAGACAAAAATAATTACTAAAGAATTATACCTAGATAAATTCATAACTCTGATCAGATGCATCCCATTTATGTTATTTAAGAGTTGGGCTTTTGGACAGAAGATGGTGTGATGAGGTTGAAAGAAGGATTAAGGTGAAAAAAATAAACTGAAGTTAGCAAAGACTCTTTGGTTCTAATCAAAAGATAATAGTGAAAGGTTCTTTACCAAAAAAAAGAAAAAAGGATTCAACTCATTATCATCTTAACACCAAATCTTAAAGGATAATTACTGACAAGAAGAATCAGGGAAAATATGGTCTCTCTTCCTATCTTAACTGTTCTATACACTGTTAGTTTATCTACTCTAAAACTCACTATTATTATTTAGATAAGATTGTTTAAGTTCACATTGTCTTTACTAGAAACCTTCACATTTTATTCTATGTGCAGACATGTATTCACAATCCTCCTGCTGAGTGAGTAAACTTAACTAGAAGTTCTAAAATTAATTAACTACAAATCTTTCCTCACCAACCTATGGTTAGCCTCATAAGTAATATGATATCATATATAAATAAACAGTGATTTATTATTCGGTAGTCAATAAGCAAAAGACATGATGAGAATGAAATTTCATACCTGTTCACCCAATATAACTAATTGGTCAATAGCAGCAGGTCTATACACATCTCCAGCCACCAGCATGCAACTTTTTCCCTGTGGTCAACATTGTTAAAAGGCATCTTTGATCTAAAGGGATGACAGAAGGAAAAACAGAGTAATCAAGGCAACAAATTAATACACTTTATTAGAGGAAGATGAAAACATAATCTTACCTGTTTCTTAAGATAATTGGCCAATTTTGCACAAACAGTTGTCTTTCCAACTCCTTGTAGACCAGCCAACAGTATGACAGTAGGGCCAGACTTTGCAAAAACAAGTTCAGACACTTCTCCACCCATCAATTTCACAAGCTCGTCATGTACTATCTACAAGAGGCAACAACTGAATTCTAATTAAGTAATTAAATTACATTAATAAACTGAAAGATTTTCTTCAAAAAGTGACCTGAAACCGAGGATTTCACCTTTAGCAACTAGTGTTACATAAAAGACAAAAACCATCCCAAATAAGAAGCTATAGTAAGATAGATTATATGTAAGGTTAACAACCAGCAGTAGAAAGTTTATGCTACTGTAAACCATTAAAAATGATCCCAGACCTTGACACAATGTATCAGGATTTAAATAACCAAAATTCCTCCAGACTCAAGAAATCGTAGGAATAGGATGCAAATGCCAAAAGTGTTTCCAATCTATAATATTTGCCAAGTCTCACTCGCTTACCCCAATAAGACCAGGACAAAAGCAACAGGTATAAACAAAAAAAAAAACAATATATGATTTTTCATTTGATTGTATTCGCATACTAGAAGACCTACTAATAGGTAATATTACAACTTCAAGGGATTGCTAATTTCTGAGGGAAAAAACAAGTCCACATGAACATGTGTAGCAGAAGGATTATGCGAGAATATAAAGGTAAAACTCCCAAAAGCTTATGTACCTTAACCAATTGTTGATCAGGTTTCACTCCTCGAATCAGGCCAACACCAACAGCTTGGTCACTGACAGCTTGCACAAACCTTCGTACAACAGGAAGGCTTACCTATATTAACCAAGTAGTACATGGAAATCCTTATTTTATACCCAAGCACTAATATACAAACAATATGACAGTCACTTACATCAGCCTCCAGAAGAGCTCTCCTAATATCTCGCATTGGCTCCACAATATTTTCCTTCGACAAGACCTCTAAAGGAATATAATATGCCATCAACCAAATGAATTGTCTAAAGTACCATCCATCAACCAAATGAATTGTCTAAAGTACCAGCTGCTTTCAGATTACATTTAAAAGGAAAAAATTTACTCCGACTGAATAAATTAGTTCTTCTCAATTAGATCTTGTTTAATGTAGCCTTAAAATGAAATATATGTATATAGTTTGGCTCAATCCCTACATCAAGTCCATTCTTATCCCTTCAAAAAAATAACAAGATATATTGCAGGGGTTATTAGAAAATAAAATCCCCCCTCCCACCCCACTCCACAGCACCCCGCAATCCATCAGTTGCAAAAGGACTCATAAGCGTGGAAATACTTACAGGTAGACCACATTACCAAATTGAGAAAGCAGTCATTATAACCTCAAGCAAGGGACGTGATGCACGGATACTTTTGTTCTTAATGCCCAATGGTTAAAGTGAGTTATCATTTACCAGCTTGGGTAGTTCCAGTATAAGAACTATATGCAGGTCATTTAATTATCATTTGATCTCTCTTACCAAATCCAGAACATCTCCCGTCATTATTAAGGTAGTCTCTGGATCATTGAAGTATAGTAGCTATATATATATATATATATATATATATATATATAAAATAATAATAATAAAAAAAATTAAAAAAAAAACTTAAAATAAGGCAACAGATTGAAAGGAATAAAGATATTCAGACCTTCTCCTTTGAGCTTGTTCCAAGCACTCTCCAGGCCACTTGTCAACTGACCAAACATTTCAGCTCTTACAACTCCACGCATATCTCTCCTAGTGGTACAAGTCTTGGAATTAAGCCAACCCCAAATCTCTCTCTGCGGAAAAAATAAGAACCAAACTTAAGGAAAACTGACACACTACGGAATTCCACAGATAGGATGAAATTTAAAAAGCAAAAACCAACGAAAACCAAAAATTCTCTCCAATTGACACGAATGATAGCAAGACTATAATCATAGAACTTCTTAGAGAGAGAACTCCCAGTGAAAGAAACAAAAACACTATTTTCTCAAATTCCCCCCATCAAACAATCTACACCTTGAACTATTCTCTATTTCTCTGTAACCACACTTCCAGAATAGTATTACTAATTACATGTAGTAACAAAACTTTAGCTCTCCTTTCAAAACAAAAAATGAAAATAAGACTACGCAAAATTCTTCCCCAAAATTGTTATAATTTCCGGGCAACAAACAGAGTCTAACTCTGAAATCCGTAATGAATAATAACTTGATCACACTTCTTACAGTGAACAAATTCCTGGAAGAGAGCGACTTGAAGTTACTCGAACCAAGCCAAGAAGATGAAATACTTGCTGATTTTCTCCCGCCGTTTGAAGCATAGTACAAGCTTCTACTTGCACATGGAGATTGAGAATTCGAAGCCAAATGACGAGAAGCAACTGTCGAAATCTGCAATGCCTCCATTGCCAAATTCGACGATTTTCTCCCCTGCGGATCCCTGTATCTGATTCTTTCTTTTATCCACGGAAAAATCAGAGAGATTATTATAGGATATCCAATTTTTTGCTTATCCTCTTCAGTTCACATCGTAACCGTTCATTTTGATGACGTGGCAACATCGACGCTCTTCTTTCAAACGCAGCGTATTACTCTCTTCTTCTACCTCTGGACAAATGGAAAAATAAAAATTCGTTGCGAACCAAAATCTATGACCGTTCTCTCCGCGCCATGGAACACTCGCCTCAGAGAACTAGCAAAACGATGCCAATTCCTTCAAGCTCTGAACCTCTATTTCCAAATGCTTCGCCATGGCGATCGCCCCAATGCCTTCACTTTCCCGTTTGCTCTCAAATCCTGCGCGGCCCTCTCGCTCCCCATACTTGGCGCCCAACTCCATGGCCAAATCGTCAAACTTGGGTGTGAGGCTGAACCTTTTGTGCAAACTGCTTTGATTTCTATGTACTGCAGAGGTTCTCTGGTGGAGGATGCTCGTAAAGTGTTCGATGAGAATTCCCAGTCGAGAAGACTAACTGTTTGCTACAATGCTTTGATTTCCGGCTATGTCTTGAATTCAAAAGGTTCTGATGCGGTTCTATTGTTTCACCAAATGAATGAAGAGGGCGTCCCTGTTAATTCAGTGACATTGTTGGGTTTGATCCCGGTGTGTATATCTCCGATTAACTTGGAGCTTGGATCGTCTCTTCATGGCTCTACATTAAAATATGGATTGGATTCCGATGTCTCTGTTGTTAACTGCTTCATTACTATGTACATGAAATGTGATATGGTGAATCATGCACAGGACCTGTTTGATGAAATGCCTGACAAGGGTTTGATTTCTTGGAACGCTATGATTTCTGGGTACGCCCAAAATGGGCTGGCAACAAATGTTTTGAAGCTATATCATGACATGGAATTGCGTGGGGTTCACCCGGATCCTGTCACTCTTGTGGGAGTTTTATCATCTTGCGCCAACCTTGGGGCTCAGAGTGTTGGCCGTGAGGTAGAATGTAAGATCCAAGCAAGTGGGTTTGGCCGCAATCCGTTTCTGAATAATGCTTTGATCAATATGTACGCAAGGTGTGGCAATTTAGCGAAGGCACAAACATTGTTTGATGAAACGCCTGAGAAAACATTGGTTTCATGGACGGCAATTATAGGTGGGTATGGAATCCATGGACGTGGAGAAATTGCAGTGCAGCTTTTCGAAGAGATGATAGGAAGTGGCATTGTACCTGATGGAACTGCATTTGTGAGTGTCTTGTCTGCCTGTAGCCATGCTGGGCTTACTGATAGAGGCTTGGAATATTTCAAGACGATGGGGAGAAACTATCAATTGGAACCAGGTCCGGAGCATTATTCATGTATGGTGGATCTTCTGGGGCGAGCCGGGCGGCTAAACGAAGCTCAGAATCTCATCGAATCCATGCCAATGGAGCCTGATGGTGCCGTCTGGGGAGCTCTTCTGGGTGCTTGTAAGATCCACCAGAACGTTGAGTTAGCAGAGCTGGCTTTTGAACGTGTGGTTGAGCTAGAACCTGCAAATATAGGATACTATGTTTTGCTATCAAACATTTACTCTGATACCAAGAATTCAAAAGGGGTTTTGAGGATCCGGATTATGATGAAGGAGAGGAGGCTGAAAAAGGATCCTGGATGTAGCTATGTTGAACTGAAGGGCAGAGTTCATCCATTTGTGGCTGGGGATAGAAGCCATCCCCAGGTCGAAGAGATATATAGAGTTTTAGAAGAGTTAGAAACATTGGTGCAGGAATTTGGAGAGCCTAAAAAGGATGATGTTGATGGAGAAGAGAGCAACAAAAAGCTGTTTACTGGAGCTGGAGTTCATAGTGAAAAGTTGGCTGTTGCTTTTGGACTCCTGAATACCACGGCTGGGATGGAAATTGTGGTCATAAAGAACCTGAGGATATGTGAAGATTGTCACTTGTTTTTCAAGCTGGTTAGCAACATCGTCCATCGCCAATTGACCGTAAGAGATGCAACCCGCTTCCACCATTTTCGAAATGGGAGCTGTTCTTGCAATGATTATTGGTAGAATCATGGACTTGTTTGTTATTATTGTTTTGGTTAACTTACAAATTTAGTCTATGGTGTGTGCCTATACCTCTTTAAACTTTACTAAATTTCAATTGCTTCTCTATCCCTGCCAGCTATCAACACCATCCAGCAAAAATTGGTTGAAACGAGACGAGAATCTAAGATGGTTTCACAAATGGGTTATTAAACAATACACATGGTAATAGGAATATGCTGGATTACACCCAAATTCTCTTTTCATCTGCTGGAATGGATGAAGATGTTGATAGGTTGAGATCAGTTTTGGACGGTATTATTTCCCTATTCCAAAGTGCTTTCTTTTATCATAAAATCATTCATACAAGCAATAATAGGAGGCAAGATAAGGAAACATTTGCAACTTCAAAGCTCGTGACAGAGTAGAGAGTGGAGCTTTCTAAGGAGGATCAAGATGGGGATTTCCATAAAAAAAAAAAGGTCAATTTGGCAAATAACCATGACGAGGCAGATCAATGTGCACAATATAAAATGATACAATGGGTTCACACACCTCGTATTGCAATGTAATTGGATCTTGGTGCTGTAGCATGAGGATAAAAAAGTTTTGTGAGAAGATCTTACCTAAGGCAATGAATATCTCTCTCAGAATGATACAGAAACCTCATATTTCTCAAATTTATAATCCACCTATGCAGAACAATGGAGTACAAAGAGTTCCATCTAATATCCATAACATCCCAAAATTATACATCCTACAGTTCCGAATGATACCCACTAATCTATAAAACAGATCAGCAAGAGTTGAACCGACACATCCACCCATCACTGCGTCCTGTTCACAGGTTCAAGTGCTTCAACGGTGACAACACTATTGCCCCTAATCACCTGAAATGGTAACCAAAAAGGGGAATCAATTCGTGGACAATGGCAGTGGTAATCAATATAAAAGCAAACGAACAAAGAAATAGTGAGGGGTTATGGTGAAAAATAACAGAGACGCACCACCATGCCAATATCAGTTTTCTCATTGCCATTCACTTCCACGGTGTTGTCAACCACTAGATTCATAAATTGGTCAAACCCACGAAGGGTTCCAATTACCAAGCGGTTGGCATTGAGTTTTACTGCAAAATGTAAATCAGAAGCATCATCAAGCGTTTTGCATATACATGGGAGATTCCCTCAATCTCTCAAATTATACATGCAAGGACTGAAAAACTAAAATTTTCAACCTAACGCCAATATCTGCCCCCAAAAGACTAATAAAATAGGGAGATTATCTATAATTTAGGTCTCTCGCGCTACCATAAACACAAAATGAAAGTTCCAATCCTTATTCCGTTAATCTCACAACACTTATCTTAAAGTAGATAATAAACCCTAAACCCTAGACTAGTCAGATTCAACTTCAGGATTCACACATTACATACAGACAATTCATTCTATTCCGTTGCGTACTAAAATAAACAATAATCAGTAACAAAAGAAATTTCAAATCGAATTTCAAAACTTCAAAAGAAAATAAAAGAACTGACAGATTCTCAACTTTTAGGAAAACAAAAGAAAAACAAATAACCAAAAAACCATTTCTCAACCCAATTTTCCCAGAACTCAGCAAGAACAAAAAAAAATACGACAACGAGTAGGAGAAACAAACTCGCGAGGAACTGAACTTACTCTGGAGCTTTTTGTCCATGTATCTGCAAAAAGATGGAGGAAATGAGACCAACAGAAAATAGTTGTAATAATCGAACCAAAACATACAACGCACAAATGCTAAACGAAATCAACAAGGTAAAATTTAAGACGGCGCTTACTTTTTGAGATCTGGAGGCTGGCCTGACCTACTCATGGTGACGAACGAAGAAGGAGAGCTGTGGAGGGTTTTGGCAGAGAAGAAAAAGAAAACCCTAATTAATCGAGAAGAAGATCACGGCGGGTCTTCGGATTTTGTTCACCAGGTAACGACATATTTGGGCCGAAAAGTTATTTTCGGCCTGGTAATGAGGCCCATTAATTATTGATTTAAAAATAAAAATTATAGGAGTGTTGCGAGAATCGAACTCACGACCTCTCGCACCCGAAGCGAATGACCAAACACCCTGATTGATGATGAAACTAAAGTGTACTAAATAGTATCTTGTGAAATAATAGTAATTTGACTAAAAATATCCAAATTGTAGTCTTTATTGTTTAACCAGCCAATTTTAGTATTTTTTTAAATATTATTTCACTTTTCATTTTTTTTCATGTTATGCATTAATTTTTTTTTTAAATGCAGGTAATTTAAATTGTTTTGCATCACTCAACCTTTGTAAAAGACAATTATATGGAAACGTGCATAGTGTACTAAATTAATGATAAAAGAAAGGTGATGTGCATTTTATAAAATGTACACGGCAATATCAATAATGTTGTCTCTATGTGAATATTTGTTGCATGCCGAAGTTATATAGTTTTCAATAAATAAAACTCTATATCAAATTGAGCAAGATAAATAGATAAATCAATTTGTTTTGTTTTAAACAATTTTATCTCATTGATAAACATAAACTTAACGAAGAAAAATATATTATATTTTTTTTTCTTATATGTGTGTAAAATCTATGGTGTTTAGAAGTGATGAGAGAATTAGTAATTTTGAAAAAAGAGATTTGAGTATAATTAATTTTTTAAAATCACCATCCAATTGATACCTTAAAAATCAATTTAAATTAATTTTAAACTTTTGCTAAAATCAATTTTTTAATTTGTCAAACACGATCAATGAGAATGAGAGTGATTTTGTCTGTCAAACACACCCTTACACATAAAATCATTGATAAAATAGAATTTTCTATTTTTTTCAGTTTAAGCATTTTTTTTAATAATTATCAAGTGTTTAAACTACAAGAGTATCAATTACTCTTTAGATAAATATTTTTTAAGTATTTTCTTTAAAAGTTTATTTTTAAACCAATTTCATTTTTAAAGTACTTTTTATTATTAGCAAATATGTACATTTTATAAAATGCATTTTAATCATCTAAAATAATTTGGAAAACCATATTAAATATACCAGAAAGCAGTAATTATTTCAAAAGTAGTTATAGAAAGGGAAATATTTTGCTAAAAAAAACGTCTTTTCATCCTAAAACACAGACTAATTCTTTTGCAAACAAAAAGAAAAACACACTCATTAATTCAACACCTAATATTTTCCTACAATTGTCATAATGACCACAAAAAAGACAATATTTCGATCAAGGACAATATGTATAAGTGAGAAAAGTAAACCAACGCGTCCACACAACGATCAGTGACGAATTCAAATAGCTTCCTTCAAAGTGAAAGTAGGAAACATTTTGTTCCTGTCACTTAAACGGGAACAGAGAATACGCTTCTGATAACGAGACTCTTCAAATTCTATCCCAATCATTGACTCCTTCCCAGCTTCATTCCTTTCAAAGTTTTCCTTTCCTCCCTCTGGCTTCATTCTCTTGTTCTCAAAGTCTCAGACATTTAATAACTTTTCCTTTCAAACTAGGATTATCTTTTAATTTAGATTTTTTTAAAAGAAATAAACATTAAATTTTTTCGTGGGAAATTCCACTCTAATCCCGTAAATTTGATAGAGAATTTTGCAGAACGAAGAATGAAATCAACTTACCACAATAACTCATATTCACCGCCAAATCCTCTCACCCAAAAAAAATAATAATAATAATAAATAGTAATAATAATAATAATAATAATAAAAAGAATCTTCGGCCTCACAAATGGAAGCATATATCTCAAACATTTGACATTTCTAACCTTAAAGTCAAGTCAACGCGTCGTGATTTCAAAATCACCATCATTAGGCCCAGCCCACGTCGGCCCTTTAATGGCCCAATTTACTGTATTCATCATATTCGTCAACTTTTTTTTTTTTTTTTTGCCTTTTTTATCCTGTGAAAATAGAAATTGTCTTATATTATATGTACCATTTATGAAACGAATGAAAATTAAATTTGGTGAGCTCACCATTACGTTTCTCCAAGAATTCAAAAAATTATTTTGCTAAAGAAAATTCAATATAAATGCAATTAAAAACTTTTTTATTTAAAATACCATCTATATATTGGCACTTTTTAATTAGATTTCAACGTAAAACTCTTTCAAACTTCTATTTTTTAATTTTTGACATTTTTTTATTAAAGTCTTTGAAGTATTATCTTTTATAAAATAAAATCATCCCATTAAAAACACTGGTTTTAATTCAATACATAAAAATAAATCAACTAATTAATGTTATTTTATTTCTAAAAACATATAATAAATTATCTAAATACTAGTCGTTAACGAACCTAAGTAACCAACCCAACAAAAAAGTCTTATCATAGGTTAGGTTAAAATTAATCATTGACTTACTCGTACATTTCTTGAAATTAGTTTGTAACTAATTAAGGTTAGAAACCTCTATTTTGAGGTCTTCGTGCCTATATATTCAAGCCCGTGTATTTTGACCTAGTTGAGAATAATAGAGAAATGAAATTATATTCTTACTCGGATATTTGATACCCTATCTATTTTAGTACTTTGACTTTTAAATAAAATGAAAACCATACAGTCATATCACCCTCGCACATGTTTCTAAAGAAAGACCGTCTTATTTTCAACAATATGACGACAACTTCTAAATTATACTTTTCTTTTCTTTACCTTCTTCATTCACATTAACATATTATACCCGTACGAAAAGTCATAAAATTCACAACCATTTATTATACCCATGGATGATCTAAAACTTAACATCATCTATCCCACTATTATCTCTTCCATTTTGGAATTTGAACTCTCGCTTAATATTACCGTGTTCTTTTTTCAAAGAAAGTGAGAAATGATATATTAGAGAGGATACACATATATTTTAACTATTTGAAAAAAAAAAAGAAAAAGAAAAAGATCATTATAATTCTGATGACTAGGTCATAATTTAAATTAAAAAATATATATGTACAAAAACGTGGGGAAAAACCCAGCTAACTTTTTTACCTTTTTAAGAGATTTTAACTTTTTACAAAGCCAATTCAAAACCACAATATGCTCACCAACCCCCACCAAAATAATAATAATAATAAAAAAATAAAAATAAATTAATTAATTAGATGGATTAATTAACCATTCATGCTGACCATAATCATTATTTTCTTTGTCTCTCTCTCTTGAAACATGTGATTTCCTATGTAACTTCCCTATAATTTATGTAGAGGGTAATTTAAGAAGGCAACTTCATAAATTATTTGCTCAGTTGGTTTGGATTCTCTGACAAATTATTTTTATTTTCAATTTTAATTTCATAAATTTTGGTTTTATATATATATTTTCAAATAAATAAATCCAACCTTATAATAAAATTAAGAGATAAGGTAGGTGGATAGTGGTCCTCTCCCTATTTTACGATAAAAGACAATCAATTTCTCATATATAGTCTATTGTTCCAAACAAAGTATGCTTTAAATTTATAATACTTTGAGTCAATTTGGGTGTTTCAAAAAAAGTCATAGAAAAAAATATATAATTTTCTTTAAAGTGTGAAATTTTTCATTATTTTTATTATATTTAATTTACGAGGTAAATAGCTTTTTTTTAATAGGTGGAAGTGAGTTTGCTCAGGTTATTTTTCTTTTCCATTAAAAAAAAAATCAATGGCAAAATAATATTATTTTTTAAGGAGAGAATTCCATGAAAAAAGGGACTTTTTTTTTTATAAAAAAAATACAGAAGAAAAGCAATTTTCACCCTTTTAATTTATTAAGTCATGCAATCGAATTTAAATGGGTCCAAATCCAATCAATATTTGACAGGGACACTAACTTATTTTCAAGGCCTTTGGATAATAATTATCTGTTTAGTTTTTAGTTTTTAAAAACTCAAATAATCTACTAATCAATATTTCTGTACTTAATTTTTGTTTAAAAAAACACCTTTAAAATCTTACAATATTCTTAGATTTTCCAATTAAATTGTGAAACAAATATGATTTCTAGTAAGCAAGTCAAAAAAACAAATAATAAAGACATTCTTAAACAAATCATAGAAATTCAATTTTTCCTCAAAAGTCTTAACTTTCTTTCATTCTTTATTTTTCCAAATTGTGAGTGTAACCTCAATTCTAATTCTATTTATCGTTATGCACGAGATACATCTTATTTGATTGAACTTGATTGAAAGCCCGATTGAAAAAAGAAAAAAGGAAACATTTTTATGGTATTTCATATATTCTATATACTCTAGAGTTATTTGACTTATCAATTCAATCTCAAAATTCATAAATAATACATATTCAAAACTTTAAATCGATAGAAATACGTTATTATTGTTTTACTTTTACCTAAAAAATGGTAAAAGTAGCACAAAATTGGAAGCTTCCATGTATTATTGAAATTAGAGCATAAGAACAAAGAAATAATAATAATAAAAAAGGAGGAAGTGGGTCTTAATTTGATAATGGGAAATGGGCATTTTGGTCATTTAAGATGAAGTCAAAGGCAAAGGTTTTTGCAAATTGCAATGATAAGTGGTTGCCATTTATTTCAAACTGAAACACCTTGATTCTCTTAGTGGTTGAGCACCAAAGTCTAATAGTTTAAGCCGCTCCCTTTGAATTTCACATCTCATCTTTCTTCCCTTTTTCATCCTACTTTTACTGATTTACCACTTTTACCCATGTATTTATTTGTTTTAAATCTATTCTTTTAAAAATATTTTCAAAGTCTAAACTAAAATTTGAAAATAAATAACGTAGGTTTCAAAATTTATTTTTTTATTCTTGAAATTTAGTTTAGAGTTTAATGTGTATTTTAGAATGGTTAAAATATATTGAAAATTTTGTGAGCAAACATACATAATTTTTAAAATTGAATAACGGAAATCGAAATGATTAACCAACGGAATTTTAATTACTATAATATTTCTAAGGTATGAAACTATATATATCAACAGAATAAACATTTATAAAGTTATAAAGGCAATATCCACTCGATTTCTATTGGTTTTATGATTGAACTAATTTCGACGTTGAATCCACATATATCATCAACATGCAAATAGTTAGGGTCTTTTCTTAAAAGAAAGTGGTTGATGAATAGAAATGATATGATATTCTATGGTAAGTAAATAATGTGATGTGAAATGAGATACTGGGATAAATGAACATCAATTTGGAAAGAGAAATTAGTGAAGGAAAATAAAAGTATGCATAGAGAAATATGCTAGAAATGAATATTAAATGCTTGAAAATGTGAATGAAATTTGTAAAAGCTGACTCGTTAATTTCAAAATTATATATATCTATTATTTATCAACTTATTAAATATCTCTACTACAAGTAAAAACTAATATATATTCAACACAATCAATTATTTATGGTTATACTTTAATGACGCTATCTGTCGTTTAGACATAGTTTAACTATATCTTTCAACCAAAAAATTGTGGGTTTGAATCTCATACTAAAAAATAATACTTTAAGGTCTAACCTAAATTCACATTTATTATAATACTTTACAAATTATTTATTTATGCGATAAATTTATAAACCCACAACAAAAACAAGCTCCAAGAGAAAGGTAAGTAACTTTAATATAAATTCAAGTAATTTTTGGAATTATTCAAAATAAAATATAGTCCAACTAGGTTTTGAGGATTGGAATAATTGAGACTCTACGAGTAACCGTCAAAGTCAATAATCCAATCATCTTTTTTTTTTTTTGGCCTTTTCTCCCCCAACCCTCATAAATTCGGTGTATAAATTCAATTTTCAGCCCCTCCATTTTCATGTCTATGGATTCGTAGCTTCAAAAACTCAATTCCTCTGCAAATATTCTTTTATTTCCTTCGGATCAGAAAAATGCTGGGCAAGAAAATGGTGTCCTTCAAGAAACTCGCCAAGAAAGTGAAGGTCCGAGCCGGAACCGATGGCGGCGAAGCAGAAGCATCGCACCACGAGTCTTTGCTCAGAGATCGACTGGAATTGTCGGAGGATCAGGAATCTCAGTCTCCGTCTTCTTCGACGCCGACTGGTTCGTTCGCTATTTACGTCGGCGACGAACGGCAGCGTTTCGTCGTTCCGACGAGCTTCTTGTCGCACCCGCTCTTCCGGATGGTGCTCGACAAGGCGTACAGAGAGTTCGGATTCGAGCAGAGGAACGCGCTCGTGGTTCCTTGCAGCGTCTCCGCCTTCCAAGAAATCGTGAGCGCAGTAGAATGCTGCAATGGCAGATTCGATTTCGGCGAGATTGTCGAGGAGTTTCTTTAGAACAGCCGAAATTTGCGGAGAAATATCAGTTCAGTAGGTTTGAATCCTTCGGGAGTGAAATTCGTCGTCAACTTCTGTTGAAACCGAGGAGGATTCGATTCCATTCCATTCCATTCGATTTAATTTGATTCGATTCGATTCGGCCAATTTTACAGTTCGATCGGGTGTGAATCTGTTCATCTCAAATTCATATCCGATTCGATTCGATGAACCATTTTTCTTCGGAAGCAGTTGAAATGGTAAAATCAGAGCCGTCATTTACGATGAAATTTGCATTTGTAATTGGAGTTGTAGTTGTAATTAATATGTATGAAATCAAATGGTAGTTGTCTTTAGGTAATTTTGTCATCTTTCTTAGAGAGTTTTCATGGCAGCTGGCATTTCCATGTAAACATAGAAAAGAAGGAATGAGCAAGAAAGTGAAAGACTAGGATTTTTTTTCCTCCCAATTTTGTGCCTAAATATATAAATATTTGAATTATATTTACATTCACCGAGAAAAATTTTGTTCTCATAGTTAAAAGAAATAATTCCAAACACTTCCTTGTACTTAAAAAATAATAATAATAACTATTTATAAATATTGTACTTAAAAAAATAATGACTATTTATAAAGAAATTATACTCACCCTTGATGAGTATTTTCTTTTTTACTGTCTTTAACATACTCTGTTTAGAAATTGAAATTCATAAGTCAAATTATAATATTAATCAGGTCAGTAATCAAAATACGAACAACTATCCTAACTATAGTAATGTGTTTTAGGATTAAAACAGAGAAATACATCACATTGGGTAGAAGATCAATTTTTTTCTTTTTTTTTTTAATTTTATTTGAAAAATAGCTCTCAGGTTTATTTTTAGCAGTGGTGAATAATAAGATTCTAAATATTTTGTTTTATTAAAATTACTCAATCTTTTTAGCTCCTTGCTTAATATTTAAAAATGTTTAATTTTATCTATAAAGTATTGATTTTTTTTAATAAATCGTTATTCAGTAACATAACAGATTCGGTAGTATTAGAAATATTATTTATTTTCAAAGTTAAAAAATTTAAGAACTATTGTTAAAAAAAATAACAATCAACTTTACCCGATTTTGCTTGTTTTTAAATATTATTTATTTTCAGTTTTCTATTTTAAACAATTATGCTTGTTTCCTCATAATTTACTAGTTTCCTTTTTTTATATCTTTTTCAGAACATATTTAAATTCTCAACCAAATTTTGGAAAAAAAAAACTTTTTGAAAATTGATTTTATAGACAAAGAAATGTAACGCAATTGTGAGCTTAATTTTCAAAAACTAAAAACTAAAAAGAAAATAGTTATTAGGTGCCGTAATTTTTAATCAGTGCCTTTTGGCCGATCCATTGATAATTTCAGCCCTATTTGATAATATTCACTTTTTGTTTTTATTTTCTCTCTTTTAATTATTAAAAAATACATAATTACATTCGATAACTATTTCTTCTTCTTTATAAGTCAATAATGATAAAATAATATTTTTATTTATTTTTTTTGAAAATAATTGGAAACACAAAAAAAAAAGAAACTCGATTTCATTATTTCCAAAAATTTTATACAATTTTGAAAATGATTTTAGCATAACTAGTAGGCTTATCAATAAAATTGAAAACAAAGAAACGAAAATATTACCAAACAAATCCTAATCTATTTAATTTCCAATGTTTTTTTAATACAACATGTGATGATGGAGGATCGAACTCATAACTTCTTGATTGTAGATTCTCGCTTTGACTATTTCCAATGTATTTTTAGTTGGCATATTTCAAATAATAGTATTTCAAAGACTGAATTATTGAACCTCTATTTTTCTTTTTTTTCTTCTTTATTTTATCTTTTGTTTTTTTGTCTGACGAATTGTGTCCGTATAGATTTAATCATCACAAAAGTCAAAAAGCAAGAGTGAAAATGGGTTTCATTTGGGTTGTGGATAAAATAGAACAAATCAAACTGTTTGTATATAATATGAACTGAACCACGACATCAAAATTATATACAAAACCAAACTTTACTCTTTAGGATTTGGTGATGAGAGAGAACTAACAAATTTACAAATTGCATGACAAACATAATAAAATTGCATTAGCAACAATTCATTCTGAAATCTATAGAAGAAACTCGAAAATAATAAATAATTTGCAACCTCGGTTAAAAAAAGCAACAAACAAATAAATCAGGGATTAAGTTAGAGTTTAAGTCAGAGTTTTCACCCCCTTGTACTAAAAGGAAAAAAGTCAGAGTTTAAGCAATAATTTAACTAGAAAAAAAAAATCAAAATTTAATAACCCAAAATAGATGTTGAGTGGCTTTGTCGGTTGGATCCCTATGACCGAGGGATGTCAACAACCACCCAACATAGTAACGGGTTTGTCAATTGGATCCCTTTACGAGACTCATCCCAAGTGGAGGAATTCCCACTACCCCACGTATGCATCGTGTGGGGCTCGAACCGATGAGAGGGATATCCTCATTTGATTACAAATCCACTACGCCACCACCCGCAAACAGTACATCATGAACAAAAATTCAACCACTAAATTTGCAATTCAGCCTAAAAAAATTGAGGGGGAAAAAATTGGAATCACTTTGGAGAAATAATTGAATGGAATGAGAAAAGTGAAAGGGGAAGGCCTGGTGGTCGCCCGTTTTGGGCGTTCCATGTTTACACGTAAAGTCAAAATGCAACGAATAGAGAGAAAATAGGGAATGAATCAATCAGTCACTAATTTTCGCTTCAAATTTCAAAGATGTGTTACATCTTGGACTTTGGACTTGGGACTTGGGAAACTCAAATTAAGCTCTCATTCTCTACCTCTTTCAAAATTTGCATTTTACTTATCAAATAGTCAACTCCTTTCTAAAATCTACTCAAATAGTATACTTCTAAAATAACCAAATAAAACTATATTATTGGATGTGAAGATAATGAATGATATATAAATAATTGAATGATAATATATAGAATTTTAGTATTAAAATAATATAAAAATATTTCTCCAACATTTATATTATATATATATATATATATATATATATATATATATATTATATAAACTTTCAAATTCGGCAGTTTGAAGACAAACATGAAACTAAAGTTTGAAGAGAGATGAAAAAACAAGTGTTACAACAACTTACAAGTTAAGCTTAGTCGAACGGGTCAATTCGTGGGTCGTGCTCGCTTGCCATCAACATCCCAGTACAAAGACATGTAGGGCACATTACCTAAAAAACATGTAAGTTATTAGTCAATATAACAAACTCAACCATATGACTTATTTCCACAAGCATCTTCCGGCTGTTTTGGATGTATTTCTTGTTTTCTATTGTTTTATATGTTAAGCATTAGGGTACACACACATGGTCTAAAAATCGAGCCGATTGAACCGAAGTCAATTGATCGATTTAGCATGTTAGGAACTATCTGACTGACCGAAAATAATACAAAAAGTAAATGATATACATATACACACACACACTTCTCGCCTCTTCAGTCTCTGCCTCTCTCACCTACTCACCACTAAAATCTCTCATCTCTCTACTACCCCAGCCTCACCTCTGCTCTATCTGTACCCTATCTCTCGTCTCACACAACCCTCTGTCTCTCTCTGTTCACTCGACACTGCCCACCCCTCTATTCAAACAAGATTTCAAAAAGAAAGTAGATTTTTTGATTTGAAAAATAGTAAGGCTGTTTTTGGGAATGATGGTAGAATAAGTGATTTTGCAAAACAAGATTTAAGTAGAATTGATTTTCCAAAATCACCATGGATAACTTTAAAATCAACTTAAAGGAATTTTAAGATATCCAAAAATCATTATTATAATTTGCCTAACATGATTAATGCAAAGGAAATTGATTTGACAATGACAAAAGTGATTTTGACCCAGTTAAAATCACTTCCAAACACACCCTAAATGTTTGACAAATTAGAAAGAGAACTGCAAGAACATAGATTTCTTCTTTGAAAAAAAATAATGAGCTGCCAATGGCAGTCAATATTGAGATAGACAGTCAACACCTAGGTATTTTTCTTTTGGTTCATAATTTTTTGAATTAAAAAAATATCGGTTTAAATCGAAACCAACTGATTGGTTGGTCAGCGCAAACCAGGGAAAATGTCGATTTCAACACCAACCAATCGCTGATCACCCCTATTAAAAATGATTTGGAAATAATTTTATTGTTATTGTGTTTTCAATTATTTCTTTTTATATTAATTAATAAAAAACATAACACATCTGAATCAAATTTTTACTTAAAAAAAAAAAAACTTAACAAATCTGAATCTATTGTTTCTTGTTCTGAAAAGAAATGTTCTTTTTTTCTAAATAACTATTTTGTTTTTTGAAAACAGAATAGTTGTGAAGAGATCCATGATAAAAGACAATAGTAATTCGGACTCCAATGGCTCTCGAATCAATCAAGAATTTTTTAATGAAATGTTGTACCTTTCCTGCACCGGAGCAATTGAGACATCTTTGAGTTGTGGGCACTCGTAAGGGGCGGGTAGAAGTGGCAGATAATGAGATGGGATCAGCACTTACGCATACGCCACTTGAAGAGCATCGAGCACACGCCAAATATCCTGCCCATAAGATTATAAAGGATGCTTAAAAACTATAAAGCAAAGGAAAAGAATATGAAATTCCTAAATCAGGTCCAACAGAAATTTAAACATGGATGTAAGATCTTAAATTGAATTGACATTATGAATTTATTACACCACATGAGAACAGCAACATTCAATCCAATGGTTCAGACGTAGAAGTAGAATACTTAGGCATGGATCAAGATCATTCGCTAAGTATAATTGTCAAATTTTTAGTTCTTCATACGAATCAGTCACGAGTCAAGAAACTGAGTAAATATATATATTACAATCGCTTCAAACTAGCACATACCAGTTCCATTACAATATTTGCACCTTTTCTTCTCTTGTTGCTCAACATTGTTAGCTTCAATTAACATCAGAGCCGAAATGACACCTACTGCTCCACCTGAAAACGACGCCACTATGGGATCCACTTGACTGAAAAAGAGATTCAAAAAGAGAGAGGAATTGAAGCAAATGCATAGTTCGTTAGAGAAACTGAATTTGATTCAAAATTCAAATTTAAAAAGAAATCGAAATTCATTACATGCCTTAATTGCATGGGCAAATGCATGTTGCGGATGAAATCTTCATAAGAAGTACCACCTAACCCCAATTTTAGCTCCAGCTGCCAAGAAAAGGATTTTCCACCCATATTTAGATGGTCGGAGCAGGAAATAGACAAGTATGTAATAGAGAAATTCATTGAGCATGATCATCAACACTTTTATTGAAAAAAGGGGATTTCAATACTACTTTCCAGGACACATATCCTTAGTTTTCCTGAAGCAGTAAATTTTAGATTTATTCAACCTAACTGGTGACTCGCGTACTCCAGCACCAATATCCAATAACTTATCACTCTTATAAGTTATATATGAAGTCCACAATAGAGAGAGATTAGAAATTTTAGAATGCGTTATCATGAATCTAAAGAAAACGTCATCGTAAGGGTTTCTTTAAGTACGTTTATAACCTAAATAGAACAATTATTTTTCTCAAGCTCCAAAAATACTGAGGAGAAGTATTTTCTGACTCCGTTTTGGTATAAACTCAGGAAACTTCATTACTAATCATTGCCAAATAATTCTAAAGCAACCATTAACACGGTTAATAAATCATGTTGTCCCGAAATTCATACAACTACTGCACCTGCTTTCTAAACTTTTTTTTTATCTGTGAGTGTTCAGAATAATTTGTGCGCACCTCGATTATTCTCATGGGACAACTGTCGGACCCTACTATATTTCTCGTAGGATATTAAGTCTTAGGTAGGTGGCGACCATAGTTTGAAATCATTCCCTCTGAGCCTTTACTATTTACATTAGACTAACCACAAGGCATCTCATGTTCTGCCTTCTAAACTTTCTGTTCTTTATTCTATTTCATTTCTTCATTTAATATTTGGGCTAGTGTGGCATGGTAGAATGAGAAACAGGAGCCCACATATGAACACTCAAACAAGAAGATTAAAACTGTTCATTAGGGATAAGAACAAGAGCCAAAAAAAATCAACTTACAGTTGGGGCAATAAGACCACCAAATACAATTACTCCTGATATAATCGATAAGCTGGTGAGATATAGCTGCTTCAACGTCTTTGGTGTCTACAAGGGGGGAAGGGTAAAAATCATGTTAGTCAGATATAAAGATAAAATCCCCAATTGATGACCACAAATAACTAAAGCACAGAATAGAAAAGCAAGAGGAACATGAAACATAGAGCATTATATAAGGCTATTTGTGCCTTGCAGATTTGGCTGATACCAGAATAGATGTAAATAGTTACAGTTTGCCAGCATCGAGGAAAGTAAACAACGACAACATTAGTCGGTAGTATGGACGTTTTTTAAAAGATGGGTTTCAGTTTCTATTTCCAATTAACTACAACTGCAATTTCATCTCAATTATTTTGTGATAGTTGTAACAATCACCTACTAGCTTAGCATCTTTATATGTGAAGCACATTTCTGTAGGATGTTAGTGTTTATATAAATTTCCCTGTGCTTCCCGAAGTTGGCAGACAAATAGCAATATATAGTTTCATTACTGAATATGAAAGATAAATAGCAACATTAGTTGGTATGGACTTTTAAAAGATTGGTTTTCCCTGTGTTTATATAAATAGCACTTAATCTGAAAGATACTTTTTCAACTTACCATATGGGAAAAAAAAGGAATAGATGATGGAATGTCAGGCATTTCATTCGCCTCTTCATTGTTACTCTCATCAATAACTTTTTGACTCTTTATCCGCTGTTGAATTCGTAATCTTCTAACCTAAACTTTTACAGATAAAATAGTTAGAGACCTCTTCAAAGGATCATTCTTTTTCATCCGGCTATAGCTTTACGAAAACAATGTCAAGGGAAACAAATTAACGAACCACTCCCAATTAGGAAGCTAACCTCTTCCATTAGGAGAAAAATTTTATTTCGCCGACTCCTAATGTTGTCTTGGATTTCCTGGAATTGCATCTGAACAAAATCCTGAACGGTCTCCGGTCCTTCTATGATGCAGAAGTTGCTAAGAAGCAGCAGTAGAACAAGGAGAACAATAAATTCCATCGTTCTCACATAAATTTCCGTACGCAGAAACCATAGGGCAAATAAAACAAACACCAAAAAACGATAAAGCTGAAATTTAACGAAGGCAGCCAAAATAAAAAGCACTCCACAAGTCAACCAATAACATCTTCGTTGAATGTTTTTTCAACTCTCGCCAAGTTTACAATCAAGTACTTTTCACTAGGCATAATTTCCACCAAACTTAATCTCCTCCACAACCATTAAAGAAACTATCGAAAACAAAAAGAAGCACCAAGAAGCAACCTGGGAGTGTTATCAGCACCAGAGGGAACTGAACCAGACGCGCCGTCGGACGAAGAACAACAGATGAGCAGCGATCGTCGGGAAGTGCCTCTAGATGGCGAATTGAGGGATTTGCGGCACCGATCATCGAAGGTGAAGAAAATTGAGGCTCTGCCATGGCGGGACGGCTTGAAATGCGAAATTGGGAGGCGAAAATGAGGGGAGGGAGCGAAAGTGGACGACATTGTCATCCAAAAAAGCGAAATAGGGAGAGTGAGAGAGAAGAAGACGGTGGATTAAGGAGATTTCGCGGGAGAATTGGGAATTTGGAGGTTCTGAAAGTGAATAACATCGACGAACGGGATAGGATATTGCAAGCCTTCACTGCGATAGGCGTAGTACCCACCTTCCATTTTTGTACATTTGAGAAAGGAGAATGGAGGAATTGCCAAAAGAAGAAAAAATGTGAAATAAATATCTATATGAAATGAAATTACATTTAAGTACATTTAATACTTTACAAAAATAATAAAAATATAGGTTAAATTTTTTTTTCTTGATGGGTGTTTGGGCAACACCTCAACTAATTTCACGGACAACCACTTAACCTTACAATATTTGGTGTCGGAAAATATATAAGAATTAATTCGTAAGATAGATGATCATCATGGAGTTTCAATACATTCCCTCCCAATTAAAAATATAGGTTCTTGTACTTTTAACTCTAGTTCATTTTGGTCCTCGCTATTTAGGTTTATTTTAAAATGTTACCATTTTGGTCCATTTTAATTCGATTTGGTCATTTTATTTTCATCTTTATCTCATTTATTTCAATCAAAATGTTAGCATGTCGCTTCACTTATCATATTAAATTGTTTCAAACATAATATAAATTTGTATTAAAGAATTTCTATCAGATATAAAGTTTACGTTAAAATTTTGTAGGTAGAAATCGAAATGATAATTTTTTGAAAATAAAAGAACCAAAATAAATATTTTGAAAGCACCAGAACCAAAATAATAAAACTACAAATCGAAATGATAATTTTTTGAAAATAAAAGAACAAAAATAAATATTTTGAAAGCACCAGAACCAAAATAATAAAATACAAAAATATAGAGGTTAAAATAAACTAAACAACAAAATAATAATAATAATAATAAGGCATCGGACCAAAAGAGGATTTAAACCTACACCATATTATTGTATCGTCTAATTAAAAAAATTAAATACAAAAAAAAATTAATTAATTAAACTCTGATGGATTGTGCTGTAAGATTCTGATGGATTGTGTTGTAAGATTCGTTTCGCCATGCATATGATTTTGATTTTAATTGCAGTTTCCATATTTTCAGATATATTAACTCCTATAATATAAAATGTTTAAATTCTCATTTAAAACTTTGATTTATTGGGTATAATTAAAATTTTAAAATATCAAGAATCAAAGATAAATGGTTGGAAATCACATATTCCAAACATGGCTTAAGAGTAAAATTAACATTTTATCGTTATTTTTCAAAACGAGAATAGGCATAACTCAGGTAATTGACATATATCTCTAACCAAGAGGTTGTGAATTCAATTCCCTGTTGTACTATAAAAAGAAAAGAAAAAACATCAATGTCAACCCAAACATAACTCCAGCTAAAATGCGTGAGTTCGAATCATCACCACCGCATATTGTTGTATTAAAACAATAAAAATAAAAAATAAAATAATTTCAAACTAACGGAAGACCAACTGGAACTATTGGTTAAAAGAAATTAATAGAAAAAGCAAAAGACAGAAGAACAACCAAGTAATAACCCAAGGGGAAAACCAAGTAGCAAAGCCCCCATATCCATCATGTGGATCTTCACTCCATGACAGTGCCTTCCTACTGTATCTCTTCTTGGCATCACCAGTGGCTGCACCTTCTTTTTCAGCAAGTTTTATATGCGACAGAATGTGGGGGAATACTTCCTTACAAGACTTTTCTCCAATCAATAGATCAGAATGCCCAAAACCATCCACAACCACCCTTTCATGTCTAAATGTTGGCTGGTGCAGCTTCATGTATTTGTTGGCCAAGAAGGAAGTGCGAGGACTCACGAGAAGGCTCCGTCCACCGGATATATATAACGTTGGGAGTGCCATTCTCTCTGGATGTATCAAGTAATTGTTGTTCCCTCTGTTGTCGACAATGAAACCGGCATTGCAGATTTTTCTGAGGTGAGGAAATGCTGCCATGGGGAGTAGCGTGGCGCTTTCCTTGTATAGCCAGTGATGAAGAGAAGGGCTCACGTTTTCATGCCAAAATGCATTGCCAAATATGCCAGAGAAGACTTCACATTCATTGCAGGTGCATCTCTCGTACCGCGGTAGCAAACGGGATATCAATTTTAGGACCTGATGTCTTGTGCTGATACTTGATGTTCCCAAAAGAGGGAGGATTTTGTTCTTGCCAAGTATAGCCATGGATATCTGCATAAAATAATCCTAATGCTCAAAGAGATATATTTGGTTCCATTAACCCAGAGAAAGATCAAGCACAAAGTTGTCTAATTAAGATCTGTACCCTAGGCATTGTCCAGGTCTTATAATCAATCAGCTTTTGACACTATTATTCAGAAAATAACGAGTTTGACCAAATATCCAGAAGGTGGTACTCACTGGGATCAGAGGAAGCCACATTTTGACCATTGATGAAACAGTCAGCTTGAAAAACATGGAAGAGTTGGTACAAGATAGAGAGGCCACACAGGCATTGGAGACATGTCCTCCCATGAGAGAAATGTGTGATACCAAGCCTCCAACACAGTGTGCAACAATGTGTACCTTTCTGCATGACCCATCAATTTCAAGGATCTTGTTGATTGCTGCAGAAGAAAATGAAGATAAGATCAGGAACATGGGTAATGAAAGAATCCGGGTGGTGGAATTTATAAGAACATATTACCAGCAGGGATGTCAAATCTGCCAATATCTTCTATTGTGAAGTCATTAGAAGGATTCAGAGGGTGTAATCTTGATTGCAACAGCCAAATATCATGCCCTTCTCCAAGTAAAGTTCTGGCTAAATCAGTGGGTTCTGTTGGCAGACAGTAACTCTCTATAGAATAGCCATTAACTAGGAGAACTGGATATAGTTGTTTTTCTCCTTGAACCCTTGATGAATATTGGGCACAGCTGAATTTTACGCAACTGATGATAATTCCATCTTCTGCACGATATATACAACAACGGCTGAGATGAATTGAAAACTAAAGCAAGCAATAAACAGAAATAAATTTAACTTGTTGCTTTCCTTGTGTTAGGCATCTTCTTAAAAACTCAAACTAATATTTTCTTCCCAAAAGTCTGTTTTGAGTTTCCAATACCTCATCAAGGCCAGTGGCTTTAGTTAGTACCTGTTGCGATTTCATAACGAGAACCATATTCATAGGGGTTTTTTAAGCACCCCAATGGTGTTGAGTTTTTGAGAATAATCCGTGGTATCTGCAAGATATAGGTTCTCACAAGAGTCTTTAATAGAAGAGAAATAAACTGTCCTGTTTTTTCTCCCTTGAGGCTTAAGAAACTCTTCAGAACTTCTAATATAGAGATGCTAAGTTCCCCTTCTAAAATGGCCATGTCATTCATTGAACTGTTTTCAGCAACTTTTTCAACTTTCACATGTAGAGTTGTTGTCTCTCTCCAAGCATATAAACCAAAGAGATAAGGATTCAAAGTCTTTTTCCCCTTCAGAATATACCTGCATCACTCAGTTTAGTTCAAACCATATTTAAAATAATGTAAATAATTCAATCAACTTGAATCCAGCATTTTAATTTTTTAGAATAAAATATAAATTTTCGTAGCATAGTAATGGTATCAATAATTGAAAATGATACATGAAAATAAAGTAAAATTAAAAATACATCAAACAAGCTTAAACTCTCACCTTGATCCAGAAGAAGCTGCAAGGAGAAGATGATAATTCATATACTGAGTGAAGGGGGTTCGAGAATCTGTGTCACACAAATTTACTTCCCCATCGATAATGTATAAATTATTCTTCTCAATGGCCCGAAATTCCACATGTCCACCAACTTTACCTCTAAGTAGTGGATGACATTCTCCAAGACTTTCTTTTGATTCATAGATGTCTTTCTGACCCTCGGAGTTCATTTTCATACTGAGAAAAACCGTGCAAGGCATTCCTCCCACATAACCCCTCATGGTTTCTTTAACCATCACTATTGGTCTCTGGAATCTATTTATATTTGTCTTGTAGACAGAATGCTTATCATCATTGATAGCAGAAAGTTCGATGCCCTGTTGGCTCTTATACTTGAGAATATCACTCACAAGATGCTTGCTTACATGTTCAGAAACAATTGTGATGGTAAAAGATGGATTTACACCAACAGAACATGGAATCAATGAAGCGTCACAAACATAAAGACCTGGATGAACAGAAGCAGGATTCTTGGTAGGGTCAAACACCTGACCACTGGCATTGCAAACTCCGCGAGAAGGATCGGATGCCACATTGCACCCACCTAAATGGTGAACTGATGCACTACGGTAATTTGAAATGAAAAGAATTCCCCCTAATTTTTTTGTGATTCTTTGAAAGACATTTATTTTCTGTGGAAGTAAAGGATCAAGAGGTGGAAAAAATGACATCTTATCTGTGTCCCTTTGCAACATAATTTTCCCATCACTCTCGTCGTATCCCATTGCATTCAGAACAATTGCTTGGCTGGCTTTGAAGCTCAGAATTTGTTTCAACCTATCTAAAATCCCGTGGAAGAACCAGTAGCCATTGGGCCATCCATAAGTTGTAATTCCTTTAAAAAGCAGGTTAGGATAAGCAGAAGGAAGTACAGCACTCTATGGCACAAGGAAACAGAATTTCGTCAAGAGAGCAACTTTTGCAACTAAAAAGAATTTTATGAACATAAATGCACCTTTCGTGTAAAAACCAAATTATAAGCAGACATGGAAAAGATAGAGGCTATCTTGGGGCCCATCATCTTGCATTAGCAAATTAATAAATATTTAACAGCAAAATACGGACAATAGTTTGATGTTTCATCATATTATAGCGGTTATCTACGTCAATCAATTCAATGGTTCATCATAAGAATACAGGATTTCTTCTTCAATCAGCTGTCGGTCCTTTACTGTGAGAAATGTCAATGAACTATCAATTATCTTGGCAGTTAGCGTGCCCATGAGAGACAATCCTAATTATCGTCATTTCTACTTTCTAGAAACATGTGCTCAAAAGATCATGATTAGGCCCACTAAAAGGAAAAAGTCCCGATTTTTTAGTGGAGGCTCCTAGACTACTCTTGTGCAGTCGTCATTGCTAAATGCCCACTTAGATCATCTCATTTTTCTCTGTCCCTGTTTCTAAGCAAATAAATTTAACATGATCCTCAAGGACCTTTTCTAAGAAGGATCTAAGATGGGTGGAGATTATCATCAAATGTATTGAAGACTGCTCCACCCCAATGGATCGTGAAGGTTTGGGTTTGAAACACAAAAGAGAACTATAGCCCTCCAAAGCAAGTAGAACTGTCGCTAAATAAACCCGTCTATTTATAGCATAGGATTATAAGTTATAACCAGTAAATATGGCTCTGAGGAAAATGGTTGGTTTTTTTAAGCTTGTCATAGTGGCAGCTCAATAAGATGTTAATGAATTTTTCCAGTCCTACTGTAATAAATATACTCCCTTTTGGATTACTTATAAGTTATTGGTATACTTGCAGTGGGGGATTCTTCGTATGTCTTCTTTTCTTATGTATAGTGGGTCTTTTATATATTTTTCTGCTTGGTAGTTCTCGCCACCCTTCTCTGCTCTCTCATTTCGTTCAAGAAAAGTTTAATTTCTTATCAAAGAAAAATAATAGTAATCAGTGAATTAGTAGGAAAGGATTTAAGCCCTATATTTCTCGCTAAGAGAATCAAGCCTTTGCATGTGAGAACATTTATGCACCTGAATTGTAAATCCCAACGAAGTAGTGTAAGAAGAAGAGATAGATGGTCCTGGCCGTTCATGAAAAGCTTTCTTCCGTAGCTGCTCTTTACCTAACCCATAAGCATTCAAGGGTGCTGGACTCCCAGCAAGATAGGCTACAGCATTTCCATTACAGCTAAATCCACAGCCAATGGCTTCAGAAACTTTTAAACCTCTCATTTGAGAACGAAAGAGTATCTCAGTTGTACCAAAAACTCCAGCTGAACAGAAAAAATTAAAATGTAAGTAGCAGTAAAAATTATTCCAAGCAATCAAACTGCTTTTCTTCCTCCCTTACCCGAGATGATTACAAAATCACAGGTTAGAAAGTCAGTCTCATTCAAGTAAACAGACCATCTTTTTCGGGAGGTTCTTCCTTCTTGATCAATACAATTTTTAACGACATACTGAACTTGACTTGCAGTATGAACCTCACATCCTGCCTACACCAAGGAAATGGTCGGATTTCAAACAAAGTGCTAATGAGACCAAAAAAAAAAAAAAGGTATTGTCTAGACATTATCCCAGACTGGCGGAGATGGTAAATTCATTGTTTAGAAAGATAAAAAAATAATAATAATAATGTAAGGAAGAAAGGTCAATGCTTAAGTCATGGATTTCAACTCGGAATTCCATTTCCCTCAAGCATGCCAACGCTCCATAACACAACTATTAAGAGTAACATCCTATGGGAGAACAATGAGCTTGTAGAGAACGAGGAAAAGAGCAGGATGAGATGAAAAGGTGTTGACGGAAGGGGGCAAGGGAGAGCCATTTGGTACTTGTATAGAAGGTAATTCATGTTCATCCTGTTGTGTTTCATATATCAATATAACTGTATGTGTAGAAGCTCCAAGAGTTCTTTCTGTAAATTCTATTAATCAGTGAAATTGTTTCTTATCCAAAAGAAAAGTGTTTCTGTACATGATACATATACATGTACATATATGGAGGCAGATTTACTAATTGAAATGCAGTGGAAAGAATACCTGGACGGCTGTCAATAAATAATTTTTGTCTGTTGAACTCTTTGCATTATAAGGGCATCCGGCAATGCAATTTCCGCAAGCTAAGCAGTTACCCCTCTGTTGGACCTTCATCGAATTAGACAGTGATTCCTCAAGATCGAAGTTAATGCTAAGATTCACTGAAGACTCAAAACTCCCTTCAATCTCTTCGTCAAAAATTTCTTCTAAAACTTTGGCAGAAGGAAACTTGGTGGGAGCCCTTTGTACCTTCAACATGGCTGCGGCAGCAGCTTCACAGAAATACCAATCACTCTCCCATTCTTTTGGCCAGTTTGGATTCCTTCTAACGCGAACTGGAGTTGGAAGCATCACTCCAGCATTCACTAGTGAACCTCCCCCTAGCCCACAGGCCACAGTAGCTAGAGAATCATTCTGTTCGAATACCTAATATCAACAACCACTTGATCAATAGTCAATCACAAACTATTGAGATCCTGGCACTTAAATTTAAAACTTAATCATAATTTCTCCTTTACTTCCTGAATTAACAGATTCATGATTAAGAACATCGTATACATGTCAAGACACTATAGGCATACAATTCATTTCTTCTTCTTCTTAAAAGAATAACACTATGAACAGAATTACCTGGAATAATGCATCTTTCGGACCAAAGCTTAAGCCTAAATTGCGATTTTCCATCCTCACGGCTGAAGTTATTTTCTTGCTGTCAGTAGCAAAATCCTGAGATTCCCATTTACGTCCTTTCTCAAGTAAACATACCTTTATTCCTGCCATAGACATTCGACATGCAGCAACAGAACCACCATATCCTGACCCCACAACAATGGCATCAAAACCATTATCTACTCCATCACCACAAATTTTGTCTGCGGTTTTCAGTTGCTCCATCTCTTGGTGGTCAAGAAATTCATGAAAAGTTCATTATAATGGCCAATTTAAGCATCTCATAGGAAGCAAAAAAAAGCAACAAAGAATAGCAGGATGAGATTAAAAAATATATATTAATTTTAGTCAACTGTTCTAGTTTTATGACTTTTCAAGGAATGTGCCAACAGCCTTTTTTGACTTCCAAAATCAAAATTTCCCACCCTCCTAACATGGATTCCCCCTCCTCTCACCGTCACCCTCTCCACCATCACTCCCAACTTCCCCCCACCACCGACCCCATGCCGTCCCTAAGCTTCTTCACAGTTAGCCATGTCCGGCAAACCAGCGCCCTCTCATAGGTCTGCCACGATAGAAAGAAAGCATTTCTTGGTAGAGTTGGACCATAGATATCGGGGTTCTCGCATCAAAATCTCAGAAACCTCGAAAGATAAGGCCTTCTTCATCTCTATTCACTGGTCCTCTGTTTCATGGCTCGCCAACTGTTTCTCCTCCCTCTTATCTGCCCCAATCAACCAGCGTTTCTTTAGAGAGACAAGGATCGATGATCAAGCCTTATGGGTAGAAAAGTCATCTAATCGAAAAGGCACAATTGCGGAAATAGCTAGACTAGACAACAATGGGAGCATTAACAAAATCCTGGTTCCGGTTGGAGAAGAAAGAAGGGGCTGGAACACCTTTTACAACCTCCTTAAAGACTTCACACCTAACACACAGTCAGAGCTGCTTGTCATCAGCAAAAGTCTTCTTCCATGTACTGTGATGTTGCCAAAACTAATACAGCCACCATTAAAGACGTGAAAAAGGCTCATGTAGGTCCATAAAGTCAAAGGATTTGAAAGTTGCTTCATCCTCTCCTTACCCACACGCTAATCCGAATCAAGAATCTTCCATTACTGTCTACAGACGGCAGTTCCACGATGACTGGTTCAAAATCATGAGGGCTTTACAAGAACACATTAGTTATTTCTGCTCCCTTAATCCTTTCGCAGCCGATAGAGCTCTTCTAAGATGTGAAGGTATTGAACAAGCAGAGACCCTTACCAATATGAAGCGTTGGTATAAGGTGGGTAGCTATGATCTCAGATTTGTTCCGTGGGATAACAAGACCTCCTACAAAGACTCAATGGTCCCTTCATATGGGGGATGGATAAAAATCAGATCATTGCCTTTAGACCGATGGAATGACGATACCTTAAGATATATTGGAAACTGCTGTGGAGGATTCATAGAAATATCAAAGGATCTCTTGGAGACATCAATTAGGGTGGAGAATAATTCTGTGGGTTTCATCCCAGCCAAGCTTCAGAAAAATCAACTTCTTTGAACTTCTTGACATCATACTTCCAATGTCTCCATCAACAATTTTTGGATAAAATGGAAAGAAAATGCAATGCATTCTAATTTCTAAATCAGGAAAAGCCATCCAAAAGACCAGCGTTTTGCAGGCCAATTGTTTTTATTTGTTTGATTTAGGGGAGTCTTATAGCACGGTTTTCTGCATCAGACTAAAGCCAAAATACATACGTTTCTAATTCAAGCCAAATTGAATTTTTAAGATATATAAATTTATATAAGAAACAACGAGAACAGGATCAGATCTCGAAGTGAATCTTCACGTGACACTGTTGACAGTCATTTACATCACCTAATGACAGAAGATAAGTCAAGTTTATTACATTTTCAAAGACAAATTAACTCATACTATAGAAATTTCAATTGATTTTTTCAAAGCACTCAAAAGACTCCTCATAATTCTCGGTTCACCAGGAGGTGGCTGGTCCTTTAATCGTCCATTTCTTATGGCACGAAAAATTGGACTGGTGCTGGCAGTAGCAGGAAAAACCAAGCAATCTATATACACGAGGACTTCTGTCTTTCCATCTCCAATTGTGATAAAACCAAGTCTAACTCCACTGGGTATTTTGTCAACCTGTTTGACTGTAATGTGTTAGATATGCGACAAGTGAATTAAATTTAGCTTAAGCTTTTGGCTTCATTGGTAATTTAATTATGTTTAAAATGGTATTAAATCAAGAAGTCTCATGTTCGAACCCATTTAATATTGATTTCCACTTGTTCGGCTTTGTGCAAACTTCCAAGCCCACGAGTGAGGGAGAGTGTTAAGATATCCAATAAGTGAATTAAATTTATATGACCCATCAACTTAAGCTTTTTGGTTCATTAATGATTTAATCTTGTTTGAGATAATGAAAATAAGTTTTTCCTGAAGCTTTTTTGCTGACAGAGCTAATCAACTAATGATGTACGATACTCAAACCTCTAACAAGGATAATTCCTTATATAAACTGCACATGTATTTGTATTTGTCTCTCATACTAAGCAATGCTGAGTGTAACTATGTAAGCCTATTGAAACGGGAATTATTATTAGGATGCCACATAATGATATAAATACGGATCAGAACAAGAAAAATAAAACAGAAAATAAAATGAGCTTTTGAACTGATTTTTTAAGAGCTATGTCCCAACTAATCATTGAAGTTTATTCCAATAACCCTGTCCTAGGATATCCAGTTGGGATTAAGAGACTTTTTTCTCCTAACTTTATTTCGGCATTACCAAAGAGCCTCTTGGCTTTTTGTTTGCGACAGTATCAATTGGCCGGCACAATTAACTATTGCTAACAGCGATAATGTCTAGCTTCCTTATAGAAATTCTAAGAATACTTTATCATTCAAGAATCATAATCAGGAAGCTTTCAATGTAAACCCATTACTCACCCTCAAAGGCACTGGAAGCGGCAGGTTAGCTCCCTGGCAAAGACTATTGGCCCACTGTTGCAATCCAAAAAGGGGAGAAAAAACACAATTCTCGTGAATTACTCAAAATAGTTATCCATTCTTCATCGCAATAGAAGTAGCAGAGCAAAAACGAGGCAGAAAAGGGGAGGAAAATTAACCTACCTGGAAGAGTAAGACCTCGAATCGCGCAATGTCAATGTCCGATGGCAATTTCATGGTCCCAAGCGAGACTCCGTCTTCAGGGTCATCTTCTGAGGGCAAAATATCCTTGTTCTCGTCGGAAGACTTGGGCGCCAGCTTCGGATTCCTGAGCCATGGAACTGAGACTTCAGAGAGCTTGGAGATTTCACGACGCCGAGCATTCCAACCGACGAAAACCAGTGGCGAGTGAGACACCATTGAAGACAAAAGACATGGCCGATAATTTACAGTTGTGTGATGAATTAGTTGCTTTGTTGTACAAGTAATGGCGTCCATGAATCTGATAGCGAAGAGGCAACAGTGAAAATTCTGAAAGAAAGGAAACAAAGATTACTGGTAATTTGCAGGTCCAAGAGGATAGTGTTTCAGCGATGTAAAGCCATTGCAAGGAGAAAGGTTCAACGGTTGGTCGGTTTTTTTTCCCCTCCCCCTTTCTTTTAAGTTTAATTTCTGTATTATTATTATTTTATTAATTCTTTTTTGTTAAAAACTTGTAAATAGACGTGTTCAACAAATAATTCTACCATTTTGGTAATTGTATTTTGTATTAAAATTTTGTTCATTTAGTCCTTAGACTTCTAAAACTTTTATTTTTATTCTACACTTTTAAAAGTGGAATATTTTGACGTTTGTTTAAATATTTTTAACACATATTCTATAATAACGAAAAGTCTTTAATATAAACTTGTTGATATATTTCAAAAAATATATTGAACGTAGTATCGTGTTTAAATTATGATCGAAAAAATAAGATAAAAAATCAAATGAATGACCAAAATAATCAATTTTTCAAAGCATAGAGACCAAAGTAAAAGTTTTGAAATTAGAGAGACCAACATAAATATTTTAAAGGCATAGAAATTAAGATGAATAAAAATTGGAAGTACTTACCAAATTAGTATTTTGACATTCTAGAACTACCTTAAGTAAAATTTTGAAATTAAAATAGACAAAATTACTTCCTCCAATTTTTGTTTTCCATTATTTTTTTAATATTTACAATTTTAAATATTTTATTTAAAACTTTACAAAAAAATCGACTCAATTCTCTTAATTCAGTTTGAACATGAGTATCTATGATTTATCATTTATGTTAAATTTAATACCAAAACTTAGTGGCAATGTTTTTGCATGACGTCCAATCACTCGATATAACATTTTAAAGTATGAGGATCAAGATAGAGTAAATTTCAATCATATATTATCTATGTACTTGGAACATCATGTTTATTTTTTATTCTCAAAACTTGAAACGTTTCCACAAGGCCACTTCATCATGTCGAGTATTACAGACTACTGAACCATTTAAACAAAGGAAAAATTCTGATTAAACCCAAACACAGTGGAAAATACACAGTAATATGAACAAGCGTCACAGAATATAATCTGCTAAAGATGTCTAAGACTACAACGCCATATTTAGATTTGTACAGAAGATGGAAATCAGAAAACATAACCGAAACAGCGTAAACGACTGCATTGTAATTGTAAATGTGTTGTGTTACTACTATCTGCCTCTGACTACTAAAGCATGTCGTTGCTGCAGCCGTAATTAATCGTTCATGAAACGGAGAGAGCCTCGAGCTTGGGAAGGAGACTTCGCCAAGCATCAGCAACCCCATTTGCCAAACGCGCCTGTCCTTTTGCGAATTCATGGAAAGCAAGCCCCATTTCTAGCGTTTTCTGTTCCTGAAATCTTATGGTCTCTTCATTCATTAGTGCCACTATTGTCTCAAATCTTCTTGTTGCTTCCTCACTCGCTGCCTTCAACTGTATAACCAAACTACATCGAATTAGAACAAGATTTTGTTTTCTGAGAAGCAACTAAATTATGTTCATATAAGTTCAAAGTATACCTCCTTGTACTCCATTTCAGCCTCAACTGCTTTATCAGATCTCATGAGCATGAGTTTGTCTCTGCAGACCATTGAACTTATAAGCTAAACCAAGTGTTCCAAGAATCTGGGCAATCTAAAGAGGACATACGGAATGGTAAAAAATTGTTGGAAATTGGTATGGTAAGCAAAGAAAACTCCAATGGTCAAACGGCACAGGCTTTAGTGCAGTGTCTTCTCTTACACTGGAAATAAAAAGAGGGGCAGAGAAATGGAGCTCGGTTTCCATAGAATGGATTTTAGAGGTTAAATGTAACTAAACAAGGGACCGTAAGCTATCCAGTTATTATAACGACATAAATGAAAACAGATGAACCTAGAGATAGTTATTGGATGCATACAGATTTATTTCCTTCAGCTTTGTTGTTTCGGCCAGTTCACATTGCTGCCTGAAGGCATTGGCTCTCTCGGCTATAGTGGCCTGTTTCAAACAAAGAAAACGAGTCTCGTCAAGGTGGGAAACCAAGAGAGTCGAAGACCAAGATCGACTTCAAATGCAAATAGAAAGACAAAGACGACAGTGAGAAAGCATAAATACCCCCAACACAAATGATTTTAACTCCTGCATAAAAAGAAATCGATTATTGAACCCTAACTTCTACCAACGTCATGGACATATACCGATACTTATGGTAACCAAGTCCAGCTAGTCTATAATCAGGATTCGAGAAGTAATGCCACAGACTTGGAAGTTTGCGGGTGCATTTCAAAATCAACTCAGAAACAAAAAGACAAAACAAAACAATAAACGACTCACCTTAATAGATTGTACTGTACGAACATAATCTTTCAAGGGTTCCTCAAAATTCATCAGAAGTTGGTGTGCCTGCAGATTCGTATTAATGTACAAGTATTGTAAATATAACAAAACTCCCCCGTACCAAAATCTCAAGTATTAATGTATCACAAGATTAGATTAGCATGCATATAACTAACAATAACATACAGCCAAAAAAAACTAATAATTTAAAATGCCTAATTCTACTTCACTAAATATACCTCTTTCTGCAGCTTAGTTGACAACATCTCTGATTTTGCTCCTAGTTCTGAGAATCCCTTGCCAACAGCATTCTCTTCACAAGCACCAAGTAGCTTGGAAGCCTTTCCAAAATCTGCTAACGCTTGTCCCAACTCTAGTGCACAGGCAAAAAACAATCAGACATCATTCATATTTTTTAGCGAAATAAAATGGTATTGAAAATATAGATTACAACTGTTAGCTATAATACTGAGCGGTCATCAAGATTCTCATATACCTCTATGCCTTTTCACAAGTCGATATGCATGCTTCTGAGCTTCAGTTAAGTGGTTTTCCAGCTCAAAGATGTAGTGTTTTAGCTTCTCATATTCCGGATTTGATTCTTCCACCGGTTTTTCTTTTCCAAGAACAATGTCACTCACTTTAGATTGTACATCCTGTTTACCATTTTTTT